AAAAAAAAAAAAAAAAAAAAAAAAAAAAAAGAAGAAAAAAAAAAGAAAAAAGACAAAGAAAAAAATAAAAACAAGGAGAAGGGGGGGGGGTGGGGGGGGGGGGGGGGAGAAATAAAAGAAAAAACTAAACTAAAAAAGCCGTTTAATGAATCATCAAATTTCAAAATTACATTAACATTCTACCACTTTAAATTTTTGACGAATACAAATGGTTAGCATTTAATTTTTGAACAATTCTCTATTCTGGGTATCTTGTATATTATCCAAAGTTATTTTTGTAATTTTTTTTTTTTAAGTATGATAGTAATACACGGCCAGTTTAGTCTCAGGGAAGGCGCCTCCAATACACTCAGCGCCTTGAGGACAGGGGAGCCGAACAAGGAACATGTCAAATATTTTGCCGTTCAGCCATTTTAAGTAAGTTATTTTTCCTTTGTAAAATTCTGTCAGTTTTTATTAGTTACGCTTCTTCATCACTTGAACCAAAAACGTAATTTGTACCAGAACAAAGACCTTTTTTTGCATCCAGCAATGCCAAAACTGTCGATTCATATTTTTAAGAATAGCACATTGTCCAAGACTCCAGTATTATCTGAAGTTTGTGGATTGTGCTGGAAGAATTATTGTAGATCATGCTTTCTATAACTTTCTTGCCAATCTTAGTGTCAGCATTTAACAGCAGCATCAGATGATACCTTGTACAATTCATACCTTTCCACCTTTCAAATTAAAGTTTGCAAGGTTCATAATATAAAGGTGGCAGGACCTCTTTCGAATAAGTTTTCTCCAATAACATAGGATTGATTCTCTCCTTAATTTTTTCTGTAGTTATTCCATCTGGCCCTGGGTCCTTTCCAGATGCCATCATACCAAGAGTGACATCAATTTCCTTAACATTAGGTGGGCAACTAAACCTCCTTCCGGTGCAGTTGAAATTCCTGGAAAATTTCTTTAATTTCTAAAAATCAGTCTGCTCAGTATGTGAATATTTAAGGGTATAACTTCTTATTAAACTAAAAAAACCTTAACATTAATGTCATTTCTAATCTTTGTGAATTATCCCCATGAAATAATTATTCTAATTCACCGTACTTTTTAAAACAAGAGGCCAATAAATTTCCAGGGGGAAAAATGGCAAATTTCATATGGAAAAAATTGAGAACATATTGAAGGGACTCCACTTTGTGTATTGCAGCTCTACCACGATAGAGGTGACACCAAGGAAAGGAATATTGTCCTGGGGCCTGGGCCCCCCACCTGAAAAAGTCAATTAATCTTACCTGTATTATTTGCTAGTGCTTTAAAAAATGGGGGGATAGGCCGGCCAGCAACATCTTCCGGGTGGCTGGTGAGACCATCCTTCACAGCTTGGAAACCATTTAACATAACCACAGGATAGGACCCAAACCACAAAGTAAAGATGTTCCCATAGATCTTTGCCATCTGTTAGAAAAATGACCACATACAGCCTTTTAAGATTCTTGTCTTTTTTAACTTGTCTAGACCTAAAAAGCTTGAGTCCTTCATAGCATTCGTGACTATGATATGAGACTCGGGAGGAATTCAATCAAACTTGTTTGATGCTTGCTTTGAACTAGAAAAAAAGGGAAGGTCCCCGAGCAAAATGTTTGGCTGGCGGGCTGCTGTCAGTGGGGGGAGATGGGCGGAGACAAATTGAATGAATGAATGAATGAATGAATGAATGAATGAATGAATGAATGAATGAAATACCCTTGTCTCCCTCATCTGTTTCTCTAAACTCAGTCCTTACAATAGCTTCTCAAACTTTGTAAAGATTTGTCAGAAGGATAACCTGCAATCCTGGTATGCCCATTAGCCTTAATACAGTATATCCCACATTCCAACCTGGTTTACCCAGCTAGAGGTCTAAATATATGTCCAGGGTGTTCTGAAAGATCTCCAGAGGAACAAAGATTTGCAGCTTCTGACTTAACGGTATCTAATGTAGATACTGAAAGCTCTTCGAATACAGAGGGTCAGAAAGGCAGGTTGGGAAAATTATTTATTTATCTATTTTTGTCTTTAAATTCAATTTATATGGCCATCCATCTCCAACTGATTACTCTAGGGGGACAACAAGGAATGAAAACAGATAAAAGCATCACAACCAGAACAATAACAAATATAGCAGGCAAGATAAAACTAGCCAGCACAATCAGCATAGCCATGATAAGGCTAAGGGCCCTGGGCCCCGGGCCCCAGGATCACTAACCAAAGCAGGTCTTCTGGGTTATTAGGGCTGGGGCAAGACTAATCTCTAGGGAGATGGTGTTCCAGAGGGTGGGCGCCACAACAGAAAAGGATGTCTTCCTGGATTCCTCTAGATGACACTCTTTCATCCATGGGACCTAGAGTATGCCTCTTCTGCTGGATCTAACAGGACAGGTAGACATAAGCAGGAAGAGACGGTCCCACAAGTAAACCACCCCATGCCATGAAGAGCCTTATAGGTCACTTCCAGTACCTAGAATTGAACCTAGAAACATATGGCAACATACCCTAAACACCCACATTATCATTCCAGATGCACGTCACCCAGCCCAGATAGCCATTTCCTAGTGCATCAACTCCACCACACCAAGTAGAAGCAAGTTCACTTCTTCCAGCTGCCACAGTTCAAATCCTTTCAAGCTGCTCACAAATTTATTTTTGGAGCACAGCACACAAAAGGAAGAAAGCCAACCCCTCAGAGTATGGCACAGTACTGTCATGGGACAGGACTTCAAGAATACACATGGGCCTCATGTTTTAAGAGCAAGGGACTCTTCTCTGATACCATTTTCAGAGCCTCCCTCAGATCAAACTCAACTCCAGATAACTTCATGTTGTTTTCTTGGCAACAGTGGAGAAAGTTTGCCACCGTGTTCTTCTGGGATATCTGTTTAGTTTCCCAATCTAACCATCAAACCTTGATGGTCTCCTATAGCCCAGATCCTACCCTGTTTTGATTCCTTTGAGATCAGCCAACGTCAGCTAGTCCATCTTAACTGTACAACTATCCCATAACTCACCTTGAATCAGTTTTGGAATGCAAAATATGATGTGGACCTTTAACACATGCTTTTCAACAATACATTAAGCTTCTAACTGATCAGAAAAAAAGATAATGCTATTCTAGCAGGTTCTAGGTTTGACAAATCTATGTAATGTCCACTAATCTCTTCATGGTTACCAGACTTCCAGATTAAGGTTTTTAGAATTTGTTCTGATTTCTTCCTATCGCCCAAGTCAGATGCCTCAGTCTGGAGTTCCATCAGTCTTCTAATTTTTTTGGTAACTAGGATAACACCACCTTACTTCCAGCCATATAATTTGTGAGGATTTTTACAGGGTTCCTCAAGAATGAAAGATCTGATACAGCTGGGGTACCTTTCCTTTTACCAATTCCCATACCACAGTGTTCTGAATGTGCTCCCATGTACAAAATGCCTTGAGCATAGATGTTGACATTGGAAGGAGGCAGGCCAAAGAGAGAGAGGCCAATGGAAGAGGAAAAACATTTACTCCATGTTTTTTGTTCTCATTAGAGTTATCAAAAAAGATCAACATTTGTCCATTTGGAGGACATGGTGGGCACGAGCAGTAGCCCTTACTTGAAAACACTGTTGGCCCCCATCTCTTTGGCCACACAAAAGCCACAATGTCCCTTAGCAATAAATTATCCCTTCACCTCTCCTAGCAATCATGCATCCTTTGGCACAGTCAATCAGCTGATGAAAGGGTTAGAAAGCAAATACCTCAGTCAAGAGTTCACGGTTTATTCGAAGGAATTTGAGCTGCCATAAGCATCCTATGAAAGGCAAGGGCGTTGGTCCTGGTGGATAGAGTCTTCTTTGGAACTGGAGCCTCAACAGCTGGACAATCAGAATGCATAGAACAAGCAGAATAAAAATGGAGCTTAACACAAGCATTTCTGCGCAGCTTCTCAGAGGAGTGTGCTCTGTGCTGGGATGGGTACCTGCAGAACCCTTTTGTTCTCCTAATTTTGGTCCCATGGGTGGAGGATTTCCATTTTCCCTCCCTCTTTGGTATGTCCTCTTCCCATCCCACATCTCTGCTCAGGGCATTTTCTAGGTTGGAGCTTGTTCAAAAAATCGTGTTGTAAGTTTGATGAACGAAACTGCATGCCTTGCTGAGTAACTCCTCTTACACTGGTGTGCCTTAAGTGAAACATTAAGTTGGCATTGCTCCATCTACTTCCAAAGTGACATGTTCCATACCTTCATTTCTTTGTTTCTAAATGTTTTATCCCATTGTTTGATCAGTAAGAAACTCATAAATTTTATTTTGAAATTTAAAAAAAGAGTAAGTTCCTCTTTTTCCTACATTGAAAACCAAGAACTAATAAACAAGTTAAAGAAAACATAAAGAACATTAATAAAATCAGCAAAATTACTAATTACTCTATTATTAGTAATAATCTCACAAGCATGAAACCAGTGGTACGAGGAGGTAAGTTTCTTAAGAAAAGAGTTCCACAGTCTGAAGAAAACTATCCAGAAAGTCTTCCTTTTCTCTCCCTTTCTGTTTTATTTCCACTGCATGAAATTCTGATTTTGGGTTGGCCTTCCAGGGGAATTAAAAATCACTGCAGCATAATATGAGAACAAAATGAAAGCAGTTCATTGTCTTTGCAGATGACCTAAGAGTAGATAGCTAATCCCCCAGAACACAGAAATAAAAATTAAAAATGATCTTGACAGCTAACGTATGGGATGAAAATAATTAAGGCAATCCCATTTTTTTTAGTCTTCCAAATGAAGCCAGAAATGTGGATGCTTGAGAAATCAATGAGTGAACATGACATCTTGCTTGCTGCATCATGAAGATGCCTTACTGGCTTTGAGGGACCCATCCTCATGAGTTACCTCCATCTCCTCCCCAGCCCACTGCTATCACAGCCTAAGGCCATCCTTAGATGTCCTGCTTTGAGAATAGTGTTTTCCTTCTTCTCCCTACCCAAAGCTGGCCATCCCAACGATGTAAGAAGGTGAGGGACCTAGTGGGGATGACCCAGCTGGGGAAAGTGATTTACTTAGGTCCAGTTGACTCAGCCACCCTGCCCTGAACAGGCTCACTTGTTCTGCATCTTGTGGCTGGGACACTACTAACACTTCATCTTGGCTGCAAGCAAAACTGGACATCTGGCTTGCACAATCAAAACAATACCAATCTCCTGGGGATCAGTATCTCACAGTGGGGGTTGATGTATACATGGAACCATCACATGCCTTTCTTCCAGAGCACTTTTCCTTTGAAACCTGAGTACAGCTCTCATAAAACGTTATCTATAACCTCTCTTACGTGCTGAGAGATTCCAATACATGGACAGGGGGTTAACTTTCACCAAGTGAAGCTTGATCTCTCGATCTTCCATAATCTTCCAGAGCAAGAGATCAATATTCCTATGACTTTAAAAAATGTTACTAATAAAAAAACCAAAAAAGTTGTCCTATCTCTACTCTCCTCCCCTTTTTATTTTGAGGTAAGGAATGGAGGAGGACATTTGCACCCTGGTACCCAGATAAGATTTAGTACATCATGGAAACAGGCCGTTCCAAGCCTAGCAGTGAGCCAGAGCTTGAATTGACTCATCTGAGCCAGGGGAGTGACTGGCAATGAATGGAGTCTGCTGGATGAAACCCATTTTCATAGATAACAGCAGAAAAGGACTCTTTGCCTTCTGATGGGAATCAAAGAGTTCCTTTACAGTTACTATTAGCTTTGCTCCAGGGAAGCCAGTAGGTAGGCAGGGGAGGGGGTCCACTCTGACCTTTCCAAACCTTTCCCAATATCCATGTTTGTGGTGTAAATGGGAACGATGTGCAAAGTGGACTTTTGCATGGTGTGGGTGCCTCTCCTCAGTTTAGAACAGTGTTTCTCAACCTTGGCAACTTTAAGGTGTGTGAACTTCAACTCCCAGAATTCTCCAGCCAGCAATGCTAGCTGGTGAATTCTGGGAGTTGAAGTCCACGGTTAAAGTTGCCAAGGTTGAGAAACACTGGTTTAGAATGTCCAGTGTTGAGCTCTGTCTCCTTCCAGAAATCTACAAAGACACTAAACCAGAAGGGACATCAGCTTTTAACTCACTAAAGTCATGATCTTTCTTATAGAAAGTTTGATCATGTAACAAGTGACTCATACCATCTTTCCCATTTTCTTCCCACTTCCCTCAAACTTCCCAGACTTTCTCTGAGATGTCTAACCAGCAGGGATGTCTGCAGGGGAAGTCAAAAACATCAAGATGGTGGGCATGACCATGTGATCATTTACCGTGCAGACATGCAACTGCTAAGACTTGCTCAAGCCTGTTGCATGAAGACAGCCAATGAATAAGCATCAACAGCAGTACTGCAGGAACAATAGCATTTACAACAGCTGCTGGAAGTTTCAGTCACTAACAAAGTGCTTTTACTGAATTTTTGCCTTTAATCATTCAGTAACTTGGTTGTTTTCAACAGTTCAAACTTCAGATGGGATCCCTTCTTCTCCCTGATCTTCCTTTTCTCCTTGGGGCAGGGGGTGAGGGGACTGGGGAGAAGAAAGAAGTAGGGTGAGCTCCCAAAATGTGGAAGGGCATAGAACTTCTCCAGAACTTCTTCACCCCATTGAATCCATTGTCTCTGCTTCTCTTATACCCTTCCCACTTTTCTCACTTCTTCTTTTCCACCTACTATTCTGAGTGCCTTGCAAAGAGAAAGATGAGATATAAAATCACATTAATCAAATAAATGTTAATTCCTAAAGTATTCAGGTAAAAAAAGAAAACCTTTTTTTCTGATTAAATCTTTTGCTACAAGACATCACCTTGTCTGCAAGATGTTGCAAGTTTTCAGATGTTTGCATGAGTATGTTTAATTGCCAATTGCTCAAACTGCTGCCACAGTATTTGTAAGATTGCACAAGCGGCTGTATAAGAGTGAAGTTACCGCTGTGATGACACTAATCCACAGAGCAGAGAATCTGAGAATCTTCCTCCGCTTTAATTATTACTATGTCATAACACTACAAATTATTACACAATGAAGATCTGAATGCTTTGTTTCTTCACAGTCATTTTAATGCCAGATTGTATATTCTAATGTCACAGACAAAATCTATCTCTGTAGTCACTAAGAGTCAACACCAACTTGCTGGCACATACCTGATCAGTTAATGTCCTAATGAAATTGCTGAGCTTTGTTTTGCTGTTCAGTCCTTTAATATTGTCTTCTACCTGTAGATGGAAAAGAGAGGTGTATAATAGGTAAAGTGAATATATAATAAAATGAGGAATTAATTAAAGATTGATGAGATGGGGGGGGGGTTAGAGAAAAAGCCCTAAATTATAGCAGATATTACAGACAGAACTTCAGATAACTCTGGGTTTTCCTTTATGAGCAATGCTTTATTTTAAAGCATCCTTTCTTTGAATAGCTGTTTGCTTCAAATCTGTTTTTAATATGAAGAATACTATGAGGGATAGCAAGGTTCCTGAGGTGCCACAGCTGTATTTGGAGTAATGGCTTTCATACAGAAGGTTTTCTTTGGTTCCTTAGAACATTTGGGCCCTCAAAACTTTAATTCAATTAAAGTAACTAGGGATTTCCTGACCAGCATCTTACCCACCTAGACCACTCGTTGGTCGCTTTCCTTAACTTTCCACTTCCTTGTTGCCCCCAAAGGGAAAATTTGGCACCAGTGGGATTTTCCCCCCCTAAAACTCCAAGTCACACCAGAGAAGGGGTGAGAGTTTTAGGTGGCCTATGACTTAACCCAGAAATGTCATCTCCCTAATTACTCAACACTATAATACATGCTACTTAATTTAGACATAAACTCATACATCACTACAATATCTCATCCTGAAACTCAAGGTTTGAAATCTATCCTAGCACAGCAGATTTGTGGGAGAATTGCTGCTTACAAGCGCTTAAGGAATTAATTCCAGAAAAGCTGACGTTGGCATAAGGGGAAAAGTCCTAGATTAAAAGATTCAGACATACGCCGTTATGCCTGGGAATGGAAACTAGCTCATCAATTTAGCAAAAGGTTCTTGTTGTTGTTTTTGAAGATGCAAAAACCTCCGTTAGGTGGTTTTGCCTGGAGATGTTGCCTGGAGAAACCCATTGCCATATTATCTGGGATTCTTTTCAACCTGTAGTATCTATGGTAAGGTGCCACATGTGAGCTTGTTCCATGCTTCTCTTGGCTTCTTCAGGGAGCCAGGAAGTAGATGGTATGATGGGTCACAGGATGGTCATTGCCTCCTTTCATCAGCCTTGAAAGAGGCTCTTTCCTTAGGAAGCCATCCCCGACAGTTTTAGACAACTATTGCCAGTTCTTCAACCTCCCCTTTCTTGGAAAGGTCGTTGAGAAAATGATGGGTTGTAAATGGCAGAACACTCTTTAGGAAGTGGATTAGCTAGAACCATTTCAGTCTGGATTCAGACCTGGCCATGGGACAAAAACAGCATTGGTTGCTCTGGTAGATTACCACCACTGAAATGTGGATGGGAGGAGCACCCACCCCTCCTGGTCCTTTTAGACCTCCCAGCAGCTTTTGATTCCATCAGTCACAACTATCTCCTGGACTGACTACAAGAGTTGGAGATCGGGGGCCCTGTGCTGCAGTGTTTTCCCCACCTGAGTGGTTGGTAGTAGTCAGTAGCAGTGGGGAAAGAGAAATCAGCCTTGTGAGGCCTCATTCGTGGGGTCCCATAGGGTTTGATTCTCTTATATATGAGGCTGCTAGGAGAGGTCACTTCTCAGTGTGATGTAAGATACCCTCAGTATGCTGATGATTTTCAGCTATACATCTCCACTCTAGGCTGAGCTGAAGGTGCGTTGGAAGTCTTGGACCAGTTGGAGGCTGTTTGGATGGGGTGAAATAAGTCAAAGCTGAACCCAAGCGGGATAGAGTTGCTGTTTG